TGTGGTGGTTTGTGTGGTGATGGTGATGGTGATGGTGATGGTGATGGTGATGATGGTGATGGTGATTTGTGGTAGTGAGAATTGAACCCAGGGTCTCAGGCATGCCGGCCAAGTGCTGTATGACTGAGCTACACCCCTAGAACTTTAAAAAATTTTTTTGAGCGTGTGCCTCTTTGCCCTGCTGTATTTAGTTTTAAAATATTTTTTCATTAGGAAAGGTAACGAGTGTACTAAAATAGTGAGAACCCCCATCGTGCAGTTTATCAGTTCACAGCCCATCTTATTTCTTTTCTGTTCTCTCATCCTCATCCCAGGTGATATTTTTATTTTTTAATGTATTTTTAAAAAGTGGTTTAAACAACACATATTTATGCTCTTAAAGCTCTGGGGGTCAGATGTTCACAGTCAATCTCATTGGAATAATACTGAGGTATAGGCCAGGGCCACATTTCTTCTGAAGTCTGTACGGAAGAATCTCTCTCTTTGCCTTCTCTGTATACCTAGAAATGGAATTGCTAGTACATATGGAATACTGTTTAACTATTACAGGAACTTCCCAACTGTTTTTCACAGTGGCTGTATTATTCTGTATTCCCACCGCCAGTGTATGAAGATCTGTTTTTTTTTTTTTTTTTTTTACATATTTGCCTATGCTTATTTTCCATGTTTTAATAGCATCCTTGTAGGTGCGAAGTGGTGGCCCCAATGACTTAAAACATGTTTGTGTCTACAAAATATATGGATATTCTACACCATAGTCCACTGCCTTTTTTGCTTTTTATTCTCAGTATTTACAAATCGATACAAATGCCTAGCATATTAGCAGCTACTGTGTGCATGGAGTTGTGTTGAATTCCTCAGGACAAGATCTCACTGTAGATGCCCTTGATGTCACCAGCAACCCAAATTCCTTTGCATAAACAACCCAGAAAAGAATAAAAGGTGAGGCTGACAGTAAGTGTGTCCCATTAAAAAAGCTGGAAATAAGAAGAAACAAATTTCCAAAGCCCTGCACATTTGAGAATAATAATGCATATTTAAATAGCAAATTCAGTGTGCTACCTCTGAAGGATGGACAGCTGTTCGGGAGGTTATCTGTTTTGTTAGACAAGGCACACCCAACCGCTTACTTCTAGGTCAGACTTCCTCCCAAGTCCTGTTTGACAAAAACAAATGTGAGTTCTCCCAGTAGACTCATGAGGTAAGAACAGAAAAATAGCCACTGGGTTTGGTAATTACATTGGTAATCATCTTAAGGAGCAGTTCCGGCATGATGTGGGGCAGATGGGGCAGACAAACACTGCCTCAGAGGCAGTGCTAAAACCCATTTTGTTTTGTAGTGGAGGCAGTTGTTGGTTGAGAGATCAATGGAAAAAATGGAAGTCAAGTGGTTCTTTCAGAAAAGATCGAAGGAGATGAAAGAAGACTGGAGAGATGTAAGGACAGGAAGTGGTTGGATTTCTTATTCCAGGCGTGAACCAACGATATTTTGATAGACTCAAAGAGTAAAGGGGGATGAGCAGGGGATATTGAAGACGCAGGGACGAGAAGGTACAGTTCATTGATGCCAACAGGTGCACCTCAGTGAACTAATGGGTCAAGGACGTGGATGAAGCACATGTTAGCTTTGGGGAAAGGATCCTTGTAGACCTGAGGAGCTGAGGTGAGGACGGTACCCAACAGATGGGTTTCTGTGGAGAGCCACTTGGTGCTCCTCCACTGGCTCCTTTCAGAGAAATAGTAATCAGCTCAGTGTGATAAGTTGGGAATGAGAATGGAGGCCTAACGGAATGGGAGAACTGACTAGAATAACGGAATTATCCTGAAGGAGGACCATGCTGTGTTCGGACAGCTGCTCTGCTTGGGCCAGAATATCTGGCTAAGTGCCACATGTAGTATTCTCCCCTAGTGTAAGTTCCGTGGGTGTTAGTCTCGGACGTGTATCCCTGTGGGTGCTGTCATTCTGTTCCAGACTCTGTTGCCCTGTTCTTCATTTGCAAACCTTCCCACTGTGTGCTCTTTAGAACACCTGCTTTGTTATAAAGAAATCCCCCAGTATGCTTAGCTTCTTCTCTGAATACTCCCATATCTCAAGGTTTTAACGAACACCAGATGTCCCTGGAGATTAAGAGTCCTCTGAAACTGGCATCCCTGCTGTGACATCCACACTTTCAGAGAAAGTTTCCTCTGTGGTAGGAATCAAAATACTCTCAGCATATTAGCTAATTTAATCCTCATAACACAACCCTCTGAGGTAGGCACTGTGATTATCTATATATTGGTTTTACTGTGGAGAAAGTGAGATACCAAGAAATTATGGAACTTGGTCAAAGGCAGAAAGGTAGTAGGTGGCAGAAATAAGAAATGAACCAGGAAGTGTGGCACCAGAGTCCTTCCACTTGAGAACTAAGACATACAGACTTTCTTAAGCTCTTCCAAGTTGAGGGTGCTGAATTCCTCTGTACTTCAAGTTCTTCATTTCCAGCATTGCTGGTGTTACCTACTCCCTAAACTTTTAAGTTTTGTGTTGCGTACTAGGTTCCCCTGCAAGGTGCCTAAGTATTCCACTCGTTTGGGCTGCTGAGCACACTAGTCCTTGTTTCTGTATCTTATTTTATTTTATTTTTGATCTCTTTTGTTTTTGAGGGTTTATAACTTAAGAAGGAAAAAAACTTTGTTGTCATTTCATGGAGTTTGAAGATATTTTGAATTTAAATGTGTATATTTACTCTCCTACCACACTGAACTGGAACTGCTAGGTTGGTTTAACATTAGAAAAATGTGTTACCTTACCAATGAACACATTAAAGAAAAAAGCATGCAGTTGTCTTTGGAGAACTAAGAAGGCACATGCTCTGACTTGGCCATTCCTGGTGTGGTTTATTCCCGATAGAGACCTGCACATGTGCCCAACATACATCTGCAAATGTTCAGGCCAGCATGGTTAATTAACGGTCTCAGCAGTCTGTGAAGCATTCACATGTGGTTGGTCAGGAGAGGAGCTGGACAGATTGTTACACATTCAAGTAGATAGATATGCCAGACTACAGAACTGTAAATGATTCTCTTACAGCGTAGCATACATCAACAGAAGTCAGCCCTGGAAAGATAGTGTTGAATGATGAAAGCCAAGTATAGCTGTACCTTTCTGAAGCTCAAAAACAAGTAAGACAAACTATAAAATATAGAGACAGTGAACAAAAGGTTTAGGATTGTTCTTCCCTCAGAGAGGATAGGAAGAAGTAGATGTATGATCAGGGATTGGCTGATGGGATTTTGTCAGTGGTTTTTTTTTTTGTTTGTTTGTTTTTGTTTTTTTTTTTGCGGTACTGGGGATCGAACTCAGGACCTTGCACTTGCCAAGCAGGCACTTGTGCCACTGAGCTATATCCCCAGCCCTGTGAGTGGTGTTCATTGTTCTGTCATCTTAAGCAGAGGATTAATGGATACTGTATTATTGCCATGCTTTATGATTTAGAGATCTGTAGTATGTGTTTTTTGTAACTATGGCAACAAAATAAAACACACTGTTTTGATGATTTTAAAATCTACAGTTCAGCGGCATCAAGTACATCCACAGTGTGATGTAACCATTCTCACCTGAAAAGTTTTGGAAAAGTTTTATCACCTCACAAGGAAACATTGGTAACCATGAAGCAGTCACTCTCCATTCCTCTAGTCCCTGGGCAACCATTAATTTTCTGTTATGGGTTTGCCTATTACTGACATTTCACGTAAGTGAATCGTGTAATACATGACCTTTTGTATCTGGATTCTTTCACTTACCATGATGTTTTCAGGATTCTTCCATGATGTAGCCTGTTTCAGTACCTCATTCCCCTTAAATCCCATTGTATGGATCTGGCATATTTTGTTTATCCAGTCATCTGTTGATGGATATTTGGATTGTTCCACCTTTTGGCCTTGTAAACCGGGCTGCTGTGACCACTTGTTAGCAGCTTTTTGGACACCTGTTTTCAGTTCTTTCAGGCCTGTATTTACAAGTGGAATTGCTGAGTGTTATGGTAACTATATTTAACTTGCTAAGGAACCATCAAACATTTTCCATGTGGCTGTACTGTTTTACATTCCCAGCAGCAATAAGGATTCCAGTTCTCCATACCTTCACCAATACTTTTATTTTTAAATTTTTCTTTTTTAAATTTTTTGGTGGTTCTAGGGATCAGACCAGACCCTTGTCTGTGCTAAGCAAGTCCTGTACCATTGGGCTACACCCCTAATCTTTTTCTTTTTTTTAAATTACGGCTATCCTACTATGAAATAGTATCTCCTTATGTGTTTGATTTGTACTTCTCTAACGATGGTGAGCCTACCTTCATGTGTGTGTTGGCCCTTTGAATGTGTTCTTAGGGAAAATATCAATCAGATCTCTTACTCATTTTTTAAGTGTAAATTTTGTTTTTAACTTTTCAAAACTCAAATATTTAAAAATCGTGCTTACTGTATATATTCTTTTTTCCTGTGGTAGTAGCAGTGGAGAAGCCCTTTCAGTCAAGCATTTGAGCAAGTTACTAGGGAAACAGATGAGAGCTCAAAGATCCCTTGGTAGGGCAGGTCGTTTTAAATTGCCCACAGTGTTGGCGCAAGAAGTATGATAGAGAAGTTTGTTTGCATGTGGCAACTAAAGTGTAAGCCTCAAATAAAAAAAAATTGGAAGTTTTTGTGTGGTTGATACTGTCCGTCTTCTTTCCTTATCATTGTACATTGGGCAGTGTAATGATGAGTATATTGCACTTATAGGGTAAATCTTAACTTTTCTTATTTCAGGGACTACGCTATATAGTGTTTTATTCTCTGCATTCTAAAATTGACAGCAGTTGTGTTTTGCACAAATTTTTATATTGATGGTCATATAACGACCTAACAGATTAAGAAATACCGTTCTTGGACAGAGTGCAATAGGAATTCTTTGCTATCCTGGTGGTGTTTCCTTGCACTGTTTCACCAGTGACTCTGAACTTTTCTTCATGTTTTCATAGCCACTTCCTGAGAAGTTTGTGGTGAAAGGTGTTGTAGATCGTTTTTCAGAAGAGTTTGTGGAGACCAGAAGAAAAGCTTTGGATAAATTCTTGAAAAGAATTACAGATCATCCTGTGCTGTCTTTCAATGAACATTTTAATGTTTTCCTTACAGCTAAGGTGAGAATAGAATTTTGTATATTCCTTTTCAAAATTAAGCCACTTGGCAAGACCCTGTCTCAAAATAAAAAGGGTTGTCAAAGATTTTAAAACTTAGGTTAGAAGCAGCATCGTGTCTGAGGGACAGAGTGCTGAGGTGAGTGAACCTGACTAGAGGGATTAGAGTCCAGCTGTGTCAGGAGGGTTGTGGCCGTGAGCACATGTGTGCGAGTCCGGTGGCCATGATGTCAAGGCGGGGACAATTGTGTGAGGGTAAACTGGTCTTCTAACTCGGCTTCTTGTTTTATCAGTCTTCTATCTCTAAAAAGAAGCTGCTCTCAGGAGCTGGTCAGTTAATCTTGGCTGTGCAGGGGACTGAATGCTTTGTTCACGTGTCATCCTTAGGACCTAAATGCCTACAGGAAGCAGGGGATAGCACTGCTGACCCGAGTGGGCGAGTCAGTCAAGCACGTCACTGGAGGCTACAAGCTGAGGAGCCGGCCTCTGGAGTTCGCAGCCATAGGTGAATACTTAGATACCTTCGCGCTCAAGCTGGGAACCATCGATCGGATAGCCCAGCGGATCATCAAAGAAGAAATAGGTGAGCTCTTCGTTGAGACTCTGGACTGTGCCCAGGGACCACAGTGGTGGGAGTGGCGTTCATCTGTGCTAGGTAGATTCAGACTGCAGAAACACGACAGTGACAGAAGTCAACCATATTTTACATATGAAACAAATAAATCAGGGAGGGGAGGACTAGGCTGTAATTTTTCACTCCATCCTTTGTCCTGCATCTCAGCCTTGTATTTGCTTTTCCCACAGCAAGCAGACACTTCTGAGCTTCCAGCTCTTTCCTCCTTTTAGATTCCTTAACTTTGGTTTTAAAAGGAGAGATGTAGACTCAGTTACCCTTCACCCATAGGAACGGTATTTTTAAAAACAAACCTAGTTACCTTTTCTGGCAGAAGGATGGTTCAGAAAGAGAGCATGGTGAGCTGTGCTTGCCAAGGTTACGCCCTAAGGAACTCTTCCAGTTTACACCTGCTCGCTCTCCCTGTGCCTCCTTCCCTTCACTCCTGAGTTTGGGGACTTGCCAGGGGCTGTGTTCACCCTTCCTTCTTGTTGCCACCACTGCCCTCCCACTCCTCTCACGGCCACCTGTTTTGCCATATTTCAGACTGCTGGGGTCCTGTATCTTACATAGATACAGGCCAGGAAAATCTGAAGAGTGGTTTTTTTTTTTTGAGACAGGATTTCACTAGCAGAGCAGTTCAGGCTGGCCTCGAGGCTGGCCTTGAACTCACTTTGTAGTCAAGGCTGGCCTTGAACTCAAAGCAATCCTCCTGCCTCCGCCTCCTGAGTGCTGGGATTACAGAGGTGCACCACCACGCCCGCCCGGCTTGAACCATGTTAATGATCAGGCTGACAGGAGACACACTGCAAAGGATTCTTCAGCAGTTGTCATTCAATGGAAATTAAACACTGGCAACAGCATTCCATTCTAATAAGAATCCTAGGGACAAAGGAGGGGTCAGATTTTTCCTTGTAGCAGGGAGAAATCTTCCTGTTTTAGCTTCCCAAGTGCTGGAATTATGGGCATTTTCTTTTTCTTGTTCCCTGTACTTTCCTCCATTCTTTATCCACTGATGGTATTCTGTAGGGCCTGCAGAGATGGCTGTCAGTGCCACCCACCCCTAAGGGTCATGTGGAATCAATGCCGATTGCACCAAGGTGTTGGATTGTCCACTGAGTGAGCGAGCCTACTTGTGGGGGACCACATAGCTTCCAGCAAAATGTTTCCTGAAATTGTACTGTTTTCCATTGTGATTGATTTTTCTGCCTCTAAAAATACCCCCTAAACTAATAGGCAAGTTTCTCCCCAGCCACTGTGAGAATACTGCTTCACGGTATTGGTGGGCAAGCGGTTACTTTTGAAGATACTTCTCACCATTCTCTTCCATGAGGCACTGTGGTTCCTGGTATCCAGAGGCCGGATGTTCCAACATCAGTTGTACCATCAGCTTTCAGAGGTTTTAAAAGTTAGTTAGAGAGCATGCTCAACTGAGTTAATGGCCTAGGAGAGACAACTTAGGTAGAGTTCTTGGCTGCAGTGATTCCCAGTTAGTAATACAAGTGATTTGTTACCCAGGCAGATCTTAATTGTTTCTCCTCGCCCTTCAGAGTACCTGGTAGAGCTGAGAGAGTATGGGCCTGTGTACTCCACGTGGAGCGCTCTAGAAGGTGAGCTGGCAGAGCCCCTGGAGGGTGTGTCAGCGTGCATCGGGAACTGCTCTACAGCCTTGGAAGAGCTGACGGATGACATGACGGAAGACTTCCTACCTGTGCTCAGGGAATACATTTTATACTCCGACTCCATGAAGGTAAGCTGGCTTACTCCTTGTACACTTAGGTACTGTCTTCTTCTTCCTTTTTTTTTGCTTGTTTTTGAGATAAGGTCTCACTGTGCAGTTCAGGCTGACCTTGAGCTCACTTTGTAGCCCAGGCTGCTCTCAAACTCGCAACGATACTCCTGCCTCAGCCTCCCGAGTGCTGGGATTACAGGCATGCACCACCACGCAGGGTAGGTACTTTCTTCTTAATAGTCATTATCAGCCTGGTGTGGTGGCACATGCCTTTAATCCCAGCATTTAGGAGGCTGAGGCAGGAAGATTGCCATGAGTTCGAGGCCAGCCTAGGCTATATAGTGAGACTCTGTCTCAAAAAAAGTCATTATCAAAACAGTAATGGGTTATTGCCTCTTTACATGTAGTACAAGTTTTCTTCTTCCTAAGTGGGCAGAATCAAACAAACATCATAGCCATAGGAATAGAGCATATGTGAACCAAGTATGTGAATTAAGTGAAAAAAAGTAGTTTGGGAGTTCTTATTAATGTGTTCTGAGAGTTCAGGAAGATATAATAAGTGCTAAATAAGAACAGGATGTTGTGGAAAGAGCATAGTTAATTAGAGCTCTTGCAAGTTAAAATGAGATTGTTGAAATAAAATTGAATGGTAAAGTTAGAACTTGAAAATGAAGAAATCTTAGAAAGTAAGACAAACAAAAAAAGTTGGAAAATGAAACAAAGGTGCAGAAATACCAAAAGCACAAAAGAAAGGGCAGAGACCCAGGGGATTGATCCCAGAAGTGCAGCGTCTGACTGAGAAGAGTCCCTGATTGAGAAAGCAGGGATAATTGAGAGAAGGAAATTACGAAAGAAATAATACAGGAAAATCTCCCAAAGCTGAAGGCACAGAACCTCCCATTAAAAGGACATGCTATTTTCCAGCAGAAGGAATGAAAAAACAGCCAACCCAAAGCATAGCACTGTGACATTTAAAAGCAAAAGTGTTAAGATTCTGAAAGCTTTTAAAGACGAAGGCGGTGTATAAAGGGAATAAGATTCAGACTGGCAGCAGTGGATGAGAAGAGACACAGGAGGCTTTGAGAACAAAATATTTTCACCTCACATTTTATATGCAGAGTAAAGGTGGGCAGCAGGATGTAATGCTTCATTGTGCAACCAGAGACTTGCTGAGCTGCAAGGCTGATGAAGAACAGCTCCAGGGGACTTTGGATAGTGTTAGAAAAAAGGATCCATCTTCCCAATAATGTTTTCTGTGGCAAAGCCAAGACTACATGGAGGATTGCCAGGGTTTGTATGGTTGAACGTTCCCACCTGCAGTTACCCCTTTCCTGCTTCTTGAGACCTCTGAATTATTTGTCTGTCTTTGGGGCAGATCTAGGACAACCCATTGAGAAAGACTTGGTTGGAGCCAGGTGTGATGGTACCTGCCTATAACTCCAGCACTTGGGAGGCTGAAGCAGGAGGATCACCACAAGTTTGAGGCCAACCTGGGCTACATAGTACATTTAAGGCCAACTTGGACTAAACAGTGAGACCCTACCTCAACCAAACCAAACCAACCCAAACCAAACCAAGTCAAATCAAACCAAACCAAACCAACTGGCCCAAATCTAGTGAGAAACCTTATCAATTCACATTGGGTTATAAAACTAGAAAATCAGAAAAATCGTAGAACTATAAAAATATTCTACAGCTTGATAAGCGGGGGGGACATTGAAAAATGAATCAAGTAGTAATAAAAACTTTTTTGTTGTTGTTGTTGTTTTCCGGTACTGGAAATCAAACTCACAACCTTGCGCTTGCCAGGCAGGCACTGTGCCACTGAGCTAAATCCCCAGCCCCTAAAACTTTTTAAAAACTTTATTATGGCAATTTTCAAGCATACGCAAGAGCAGAGAGGAATAGTACAAGAAGTGCCTGTCCCTGCCATCCTCATTCTTCCTGGCTCCTTCAGCTTTGCGTGTGCTGCGGCTCTTGGGCCATACTGCAGTGGTGATGGTGGACAGCGGAGCCTGTTCCAGGTGTAATCATGGTGTCACATATGCCCTATAAAGCCGCTAATAAAATACTTCCAAAGACAAGCCTGTGCCTGGATCTCACAGTGATTAGGAGGATGGTATGAATTTCCTTATCTGTAGGGTAGAATGGGGATGTGATGGGGAAAGCTCAGAGGTGAGATCTTAAGCCTGAGCCTGCCTTGTTGGTAATTATTGGAGCTGCAGGTGAAAAAACTTCTGGCTCCGAATTTACAGCTCACTTTCCTCTGTGACGTTCTCTTTAAAAACCATTGAGATACACACGTTGCATTTTTAAGCCTGTGGCTGAAACAAGTTTAAAAAAGTATCCTGACTTGCTTAAAACGAACGAAAATATTTTGCTTCACTAATGAAATTACTAGTGTCTGCTATTAATGAAAAATACATTTTTACAATCCCTGATGTGTCCCTGGATTTGTCTGGTATCTGGATGGGCGCAACCTTCATCAAAATGTTTCCCAACCTTGCTCAGACCAGAAGTCCAGTGCACGTACAGCGTTAGGATATTATAGTACGGATTACTTGTTCTAGCATGTGGCAACTGTGTTAGTATTTAACATGTATATGTAATTTATCCAGGATTTGAAATTTTGGTTTAGGAAGGATTTATCTGGCATCTTTATTAGAACATTATTAAATTGTGAGGTAAGTGTTACAGCTTGTGTTTAGATGTCCCCTCAAAGCTTCATACAGTCGTAGGTGGGTGGATGTATGATGTACTGCCAGGGTTTGTGCTGCCTGAGCCAGAGACATCGGGACAGTGACAGTGTCGGCAGTGGCTCTCCTACCTTTGAACATTGCTGCTCTTTAAAAATTCTGAACTACATTTTGTTCCTCTGAAAGAATCACATTATTCGATCGAGAGGTGGCTGGGTCTAGAGTGTGTGACTGGCATTGGCTCATGGTGCAGTGCACTAGGAATCAGCGCTCAAGGGCGCTATGGTTAAGGGTGTGAGTGCTATCTGCCCCAAGGAGCCTGGATAAGATATAAGGGATAGAAAGAGCTGTGGTCCCTTGTTGCTTCTAGCTGATTATGGACTGAAACCTCCATGAACTGTGAGCTAAATAAACCCGTCCTCCTTTAACTTTGGGTGTTTAGGTATTTTATCTCAGCAATAAGAAAAGTAACGAAGACAATATGCTTATTGTGTAATTAAAGTTATGCATCCAAGAAATACTTGTTTGTTCTCTTTCTTTACCTCATGTGTGAGGTGTGTGTACTGATTACTTTGTTTACTGAGTCTGAAAAAATGCAGTCAGGTTCCTGCGGCTGGGAGAGGGGTTCACAGACAGTATTGCCAGGGAAAGGGCCTGGTAAAGTAGAGCTGTTGACCTGTGGTCTGTGAGACCCAAGCTGTGTCCCACAGTGAGCTGAGCTAGGTGCAGTTAATAAGAAAGGAGGCCACTTGCTGTCCCTGTTGCAACAAGAAAACATTTCTGCACAGTGCTCTGGGCCAGACCAGAATGACTGCATGGCAAAGCCAAGGCTGCATGGGGGATTGCCAGGGTTTATGTGGCCCGAGCCAAAGACATCAGGATGGTGACAGTGTTGGCAGTGGCTCTTCTACCTTTGAATATTGCTGCTCTTTAAAAATTCTGAACTATATTTTGTTCCTCTGAAAGAATCACATGATTTGATTTTTTTTTTAAATTCAATTTTCAAAATAACTTTCTGATATCTTAGATAGGACTTCGCTATTCCTTATGAAAAGTAACATTAGAAAAGCAGGCTTCCCGATGGCCTGGCTGTGACACATTCCTCCTCGTCAGTGGCCAGACAGGCTTTAGAACTGAGAAAATCCTTTTGTTATGGTGGGTGAAGCAAAGTGAGAATGTATCCTTCCTATTCGGAGGCAGCAGCCTCTGCCTTAGGAATTTCCCTAAGTGGTCCATCCTGGGGTGGGAGCAGTGCTGAGGCTCCTCGAAGACCTTTCCTGATGGGGCCATCGTTGGGGTTCCTCTAAGTGTGTGAGGACCTTTGGGATCATTTGGTTGAATTTGCTCATGTGCTTGATAAAGAAACAGAGCTCTGTAGGTAAACCTGGCCTGTGACCTAGACCGTGCTCCCTAGTGACTCGTCACCCAATAGCTATGTGTTTACTACTTGGCAGGGGAAAACTGGGTGATCTCTGATTTTTCAAGGCTGGCCTCAAATTGTGTCTCTTTATGGACAATTGTGGCTGGGTACGTTCTGTTTCCCTTGAAGGTCAAGAGCGAGAACAAAGGAAAAGTAGGGTCATTATCAGGCCATCTGAAACAAATGGGGCAGTGAGACTTTTCAGGCAGTGAACATTCAGGACGGTTTGTACAAGAAAAATGGCTGAAGGCTTATAGTTTACAAAGGACGCAGGGAGGGGCAGTGCGCAGAGCCTGGAGGGAGGACACTCCAGCTAAATACCCCGTAGATGTGAGTTGCTGTGTGGGATTTCACCTCCTATAGAGTCCGTGTGGAATGTAATTAAGGTAGTGATGCACTGAGGAAGGCTGTTTTCCAGTCCTTCACCAGATGCCTATCAGTGCCTTTTGTAGGTTGGGGTCATTGTGACCAGGCCAAGAAGAGGAGAAGCCTTATTTCAGAACATTAGGACAGAACTGTCTTATTTCTCACACTGCCTTATGTATAGAAGGTAGTCAGCACACACTTGAGTGAATTTGATAGTTCAGTGAATTTGGAACATTTATATAGAAAGCCCTTCAGGACCTCATCACAGTCCAGAGGAGTCCACATTTGTAATCCCAGGGAAAAGTTGTTTGAATTCCAAGAAGTAATTCCGATCAACCACTTTCATTGCAATCAACGAGAGAATAAAGACACCAAGGCACATTTGTAGTTGTGGGGAGCCAAGGGGATCCAAAGTCCAGCTAGGCGGATGGCTAACCAGAGCAAGGGCCTCTACCCAGGACCAAACCCAGGTTTTATTCATGAAGAGGAGAGTGGCTCAGGATGAATGACTCTGAGAAACACGGAAGTTTGTGGGT